GTGATGACTGTGGGAAAAGATATTAATATATTTAAATGACATTTGTGCCTGGCGCCAACCTGAGTACACTTTGGGGGGGCTTTGACAGACCTGCATACATATTTGAAAGCGCAGTGGGCATAAGCCTCTTGTTACTAGGGTCTGCGCTACAACTTACTGAGCAGAGATTTCCTCTTGGTTGCCTCTGTGTGCTGCTTTTGTGCAGGCGGCAATGTGGGAATATGTCTGGCACTGTTCTGGGAATATGTTTGGCTGCTGGTCTCTGACCTTCTGCCTGTGTGTCCTAGAAGAGGGCCCATGTGTCACTGAAGGGACAGGGCAGGCAGAACTGATGTGCTGGCCTCAGCAAAGAGGTGAGGGGCTCAGCTTGATGCGGTCCACCTTACAAGAGAGGCCAGGATGCTATGGATGTGAATGTGCAGCAGTGCAAGGGAATGGTAGGGAGGAAGCATATCAGTAACTTGCTCCATGCTCTTTGCAAGGAGGTAACCTCTCCTCAGTCAGCAAGTCCTGATCAACTACATGTCTGTGAGGTGCTTCTTGTCCTTTATCAATTTGGAGGTTTGAGCTGATGGACTGTTTCAGTTAAATAAAGCACTATATGCAGCTACAAGATTCAGTAGATACAGTAGTTTGGTTAAAGCTGGGTGTTCAAGAGATTTGCTGTTGCTGTTGTTAAAGGATCGCTGTTATTTGGAAAAACATTTTCTGATTCTTCTGCAATGGAGTATTTTGTGCGTAGAGAAAAATACTGGTTTCAGTGACTGAGCAAAATCCAGTCTTGCATTTTAGAAGGAGTTAACTTGTTTTTCTTACTGCTTTGAAGCCACTGTGACTAGTTTTAAAGTGATAATCCATAACAGCTCTGACATTTGCGTGTGTAAAGGCTGACGTGTGGATATACTGCAGTGAACAGAAATGACTTGTGGAAAATGCAGGTTAGAAAACACAAAGTTGAGCACTTCACAAAGTAGCCAGTGCTGCAGACCCTCATCACAGAAGCCCTTCCTACTCATGCAGGTAGTTGGGCTGCCTTTGAGATGCTACAGCTCTTACTTATTTTTCTGCAGCATAACATGCTCTGTGCTGCACTTTTATGTATTTCTGTGCCTCCCAGTGGTCTTGCTCAGACTGTACCAGATGCAGCACAAGCCAGAAGCCCAGGTCTTTTTTGCTATGAGCCCACCCTTCCCAGTTCCTAGCTTAATTCTTGGAGCTGTAAGATGGGCCAGTGATGCTTACAGCTTCTCCTTGGGTCGGACAATACTGCTAACCCAGTTGACATTGTGAAACTGATTTCCTGATCAGGGAATCCTTTGAGTCCTTTCAGAGAGGTGCCTCAAGTCACTAAATAGTTTGACTACTGCAGCTATCACATGTACATTTTACCCCCTGTGTTTGAAGAGAGTTTAGCAGTGGATTTCTTTGTGGTCTTCCTCTGACCAAGTGCTTTCCCGGCCCTGTTGACCCACTTGTGAGTCCCCAAGAGGCTTTGCCTTGTGATGCCTGAAGAGTTCACTAGAGCATCCTTCATGCTTGTTGTGCAACAAAGCCACAGCTGTTTCCTGGCCTCTGGGACCCTGTGTCCCTACAGATGGAGAGGCAATACTTGCCTCAGTGGATGTTATTTAATATTTTCTTGTGTTAGAAGCAATTGTTTAACAGATTTTGAGCTGTCTCCAAGCAGCACATTGTCAGGGATGTCAATGCAATTGAATGTAAATGATAGCAATGAGAACAGCCCTTCTACCTCCAGGTTATCTGTCAGAATAAACTATGCAGGGGAGTTATAAGTGGGAGTCCTCATTTTATGCTGTGTCTTGCCGGTGTTTGCACAGGCAAAATACCGTTGTTGGAGACACTCCGCCAGAAGAACTGCAGGCATGCTCTCCACATAGGCACAGAACCACCATTGTGTCATTGTTCTGTCTTTAAAGAAATCTGGGAAGAGAAGTGAGTAACTGGAAAGAAACTCCTATTTGTTTCCAAGACTCTTTCTTTGCAGATGCTGGGGATTCCACTCTGTGGGCTGTTAGGCTGGAGTGAGTTAAAAAGAAAATAAGTAGGTACAGGTATTTTAGAAACCACCAAAGCAGATCATCTCTCCCTTTGCAGCAACTTTGGGAACTAAGGAACTGATCATTTTGAGCCTGGTAACCTCCCAAGGAAAGCTAGCAGAAAGTAATGGTTTGGAAACCTCTTTCCTGGCCTGGCAGTTTGGATGGTGCTATGCTAGAGCTTCCCTTGGCTGCCTGGCTGCTGTGCTTACGGGTGCCAATGACTTCCCTGCAGACTTTCAGCTATATGGGGAGTTCCCAAGCACTGGTCCCTGCAGGGCATTTTTTTTGGATCTAGGGATCACCCCAGGGCAAGCACCAAAAAAGTGCAATTGAGCTGGAGTAGTGAGCCCAGAGATAAGTCAAGGGTGTGGTGTTTACTTCAGAGAATGGGTCCAACTTCAGTATTTACTTCCTGTGTGTTTGTCAGCTATGTAAAGCCTGGATCAAAGAAGGGGGAAGATGCATGAAGTGGGAACTAGCTAGAAATGAGACACACAAAACAGTGCAATCATCAGGCCCTCTGACTTGCTCTTTGAATTGATAGATGCCCAAGTTTTGCCTTTAAAGCTTTGTAGGTCTTTTAGCTTTGTTGTAACTCACAGCTAAACCCAACCTGGACTCTCCAAGAAAGCATTCTGTTTCCACCTTCCAGAGAGGCTCATCCAATGTAGACTAACAACATTCCTAATAGGGATGCATACAATACAACAGCCAAGTCACGCTGACTTAAAAACTCACATGGTGAGCATGTTGGCATCTGTTCTCTTTGGTAGCTTGATGATTAGAACAGTCATTCAGGACCTGAAATGAAAGCTGAGCTTTCACTGCCCTCACGTAGCCCCACATCTTGTTGGAGAACACTGAAACTGCTAGGATGTTGGGAGGAGGGAAATATGCGCATGTTCTCTAAGAATCCTTTGGAAACTCTGTCAGTCCGAAAAAATCAGGCTTCATTAGGCCAAAAGATAAGCAGGTGGGAATGTGATTCTTTAGCTCCTGCAATAATGGCAAAGAATCTTGGGTATTGTCTGTGAAAACTGGGCTTATGTTAAAATATTAGGTATTGTAAGTAATACAGAAAAGGGGAAAAAAAACCCCAACCTAAATATATTATCTTTTAAAATTGTTTTCCATAGTTTCATGTAGCAGTCTCACATTTTGGTGCTTAAATCTGCTTGTGGACCTAGTGCTTTGCTTTTTCCTATGGAAAGGAGTTAAGAGCACTGTCCTACCAAACAGAAGCATTGCAAGGCTAGATGAAATTAGAATTAGTGCAGTAATGGTCATCAGAAAAGTGCCCTATATAACTTCTGATAAATAATCTCTTTCTTTAATTGAAAGACAATGTTGAGGTTTGAGTGTGAAACACTGCTAAAGTTAATAGAAGCTCGTCGAGCTCTTGAGGAAGTAGAGAGAAGGATAAGTTACCTTCTGAGAACGAGAAATGGTGGGAAGGAGTGTATGCGTGAAGAAATAACACCATTCAGATCAGGGCAGGACCTGGCCTAGCATTTGTATTTGCATATTTTTTTGTACTTCCTGATGAAAATGTAAAAATATCCTAACGCAGTGCAATGCAGTGTTTATAACAGACACTCAAAAGCACTTGCTCTAGCAATGAGAAATGACTTGGCTTACTTATTCATAGGAAGGAGTAAAAGACATGTATTGTTTTTGGAACAAAGTGCTTCAACCAAGGAAAAACCATGGTATTTGAAAGAGGCTGTGAGAAACAAAGCAGTTAAAATGTCCTGAAGTTATACTACTGGTGTATTTCATTCTAAAGAGTGTATAAAGTTACACTTAATCATGGTCATGGTATTGGGCAATGGATTTAGATAGCTACAGGAATGTTTTATTTAAACCCACTTGAGGTTTGCAACTGGATAAAAGATTTTGAAATGGAAAGTTAAAATAAACAGACTTCTTTGCAATTAATAGGTAAAATGTCTTGTTTGTGTCTCTTGGTTGCAGGAAGCATTAGTGATGGCTATGTACTTTTGAGCAGTTGGGGGTAGATCCTGAGAAGCAGACAGAACAGTGGACTCCCTTAAAGGCGACCCTTAAATATGGATGCCTCTTTATCTCATGTGGCTGTCTCGCCTTTCTTTTTAAAAGCCAAGGGGTATTTGCAGCTGCAAAAGGAGCTGCCATCTCCGGCCTGCCTGCTGAAGCAGCAGCACTGCTGTCTGTCTTGACACAGGTGTAGTTAATTGACTGCACAAGAGCCAAAGCAGTAGAGAAATAATTTGGATATGTTCTTAATTTTAATGAGATATCAATGATAAAAAAAAGTAGCATGCACAGATCCACTGAGAATGGAGATGTGTATCCTGTCAGTTTTTCTTACTTACTGATTGAAAGTCCTTCTGGCTTGTACAGCAAACAAAAAGTTCTTTCTACTGGTGTAAGTACTAACCTTAGTTGTCTGGTGTCTAGTTTGGAGCACTGTGCCATGCACGTCACACGAGAAGTATTTGAGCTTGTGTGGCCAGCAGTGAAGGCGGTATTGAGAGGAGCCACTGTGTCTACATTCAGAGAGGAGGAATATTACTCATGTGCTGTTTTGGCTGTGTGTAAGAGGCTTCACATTCAAACCGGGTGTCATGGTGGATCAATGCACGTGGGACAGAGGGGAACAGTTTGGTGAATCTGTCCTCAGTCAAGAGACGAATTTTACCTGCTTAGCTGCCATGTGTTTAATTTGCATAAAACCATCCTCTTAAGCTTTGCATGAGTAATTACTATTTTTTTAAAGTAAGATTTTACATAAAATTAAAACCAGGAATAGTCCTGTTGACTGCAGTGGGAACAGTACCTGGGAGATACTGTGCAGGGAGCGAAGCAATCAGGATTGGGTCCTGAAATGAGTATTTCCTCTAATGCAACAATAGCTTTGTCTAATGCCTATCTGATATGCTCTTTCAAACAGATACTAATTTCGTCTTGGGTAATGCCCAGATAGTGGATTGGCCCATTGTCTACAGCAACGATGGATTTTGCAAGCTATCAGGATATCACAGAGCAGAAGTTATGCAAAAAAGCAGCACCTGCAGGTATTTGAGAACAGATTTATTTTCTGTTAAATAGCTTGTAGTGTTGTGCTTGCTGCTTGAGGAGAAAAGTAATCTGTTTATTCCAGTTTTGTCTTTTATCTCCTGGGGCTGCATCTGTCAACTATGCTTTCCAGGTGAAACAAAACCAAAGAAGAACTATTTCTAAATAGATCCTTTTCACATTGTAAACAAATGGCTTTGTGTCTTTGTCCGGTACCTGACTTGAATTTCTCCTTTTATTTGCAGTTTTATGTATGGAGAGCTGACAGACAGTGATACAATTGACAAGGTCCGGCAAACATTTGAGAATTATGAGATGAACTCCTTTGAAATCTTGATGTACAAGAAGAACAGTAAGTAGTTGATTGGTTTGTTCATTAATGTAGGTGTGTAAAGTTGTTTTAAATTATATTGTAAGCTATACAAGTGTGTCAGCCTGGAAGACTGTGCTATATCTAGGGCTAAATAAACCCCAGTTCTACCAGTTGATCTACAAGGGAGAAATGAGAACATTAGGGATGAAAGTCACTCAGGGAGGCAGACAAAGCTCTCTAATTTGTTTTGACATTTAGAGCAATTTGTGTGTGATGCTTTAAGACAACACTCAAGATTCCATCAGCAATGGTAATACACAAGCTAGGTTTGTGCAAATGCTTTCCATTACAGAGAACATACTTTTTCAATTTTTAAAAATTTGATATAGCAAAGCTAGTATTCAGATGTAGTTTCAGAATAAAAAGAACTCATCTTTTATTTTAGAAGCTGAACTGCTTCTGATATTTTCAGATGAAATTGTCCTTTGTTTTGGACAAGAATCCCTTAATTGACATATAATTTTTTCCTGGAAATTTCAGTCTGTCTGTAACTGCACATGTCAGCAGATGAACTGCTTGCCGAAAACTTGTTTCTCATCTAGTGTGGACTGTGTCATGGCACAGTTATTTTCATCTACTTAATGTCACCTGAAGTGTAAATACACTGTGATCTTCAGCCTGGCCAAATGTTAAGCTGAAAGTCTGCATTCTGTAACTTGCTTTCTCTTAACAATTAAGCATTAAAACTGGTAGTGTCTGTGTACAGGGGAGGGTACCTTGCAGCAGCGTCCAGCAAGCAGCTCCTTCTCATTACAGCTGTGATGACCAATTTGATCAGTTATGCATTAGTGGGCATGGGGGATGACAACCACAAAATATAACGTAAACTGCTATCATGTAACTTTTGACAGTTAACCTCACTGCTGCTTTGTTTCTTGTTAGAAAGAGCAGTTTTCTGGGGAAAGGTTGTCCAATCTATCTGTATGTGCAAACCACTGGTATTTCTGTTGAAGTGACCAGCTAGTACTGATGGAGTTTGGTGAGAGAACCACAGGCAGTTCACAAAAGCTAAAAGATAATACTTAGGTATGCTAGTGCTGATCTGTGGATGTGTGAAGCTGCTTGTTTTCTATCAGAATGAATCTGTTCTTCTAAGAAGTGGTGGTGCCAAAGTACATGGAAATTTTTCTGATCATCTTTTAGAGAGAAAAAGAAAAGCCTCAAAAGATTTTTGCTTCATTTCTCTTCTAGTCTTTTTCTTCTCTTTTTAGCCTGTTCAAAGCATCATGACCTCTGACTTGGTGCCATTGCTCAGGACTCTTCTGGAGCATAGCTTTGCTGGTCCAACTAATTTGAAAAGCTATATATGCTATCTGAATGGCCTTGCTTCATGCTTCTTTCCTTCTAGTGTTATCTGCCTCCAATGTTTACTTATTTCTTTATGCTTATTTCTGTTCCTAGCTCAGTGGCCGTAGGAACATCGGCAGCTTACATCTATGCATCCAAAGCCAAGTTAAATTAGCTGCAGTTGTGGGATCCAGGAAGGTCTGGAATTCACTCTTAGTTAACAGTGATTTGGCTATGCAGCTACTTTTTCTATCATTGCTGCAGCATATGGCCTGTAGTAGAGCCTGGGGCCTCTCTGTCTTTTATGCAGATTTAAAGCAAGGTAACGGTGGAGTGAGGAATGTTTCCTGCCCTGCTGTGCACTTCCCTGAGGAGAGGCGACCTAGAACAAAGTCCAGCTGTGCTGAAGCTGTGTTGTGCGACACGCCAAATAGCTGAGCTATGATGGTTCTGCTGTGTGCACAGAGGGTCACAGGCAGGGGAAGAAGAAAATCACAGAGCTTGCTTTTAAGCTTAACAAAACACAGTGCTCTTATGTTTGTTAAATTTGTGGCTTTAGAGGTACCTTAACTACTGATACAGAAACTGACTAATAACACTAGAGAGCTGTAACTGAAAAATTCCAATAAAAGGACATCCTGGAGCTTTTTCTCAGAGTGAGTCACATCATAGAAGTACTCAGTCTTGTTTACCAGTCATTTAGCACCCAGACTGTTAAGTGGTCTTGCCTTTGTGGTCACTTTACCTCTGCCTTCAACTATGGCAGTTCCCTGCTTAGACAGTGAACACGATTGGTTTCAACCTACTTTCAGTTTGGAGGTTTTGGAAAGGACTTTGAATTTTGTTAGACGTATTTTTTCCTGTTTTTTGGGTTTTTTTGTCTCTCTTCTTCCCTTGTTCTATTTTTCTTCTTCAAATTAGGCAGCAAATTAGACAGGAAATCGTTTTTTGTTGTTCTTTACCTGTCCTCTCCTTCTCTATAAACTAACAGTCATGATAAATAGCAAGTTTTTCTTCCATTTTTGTGATGTGGAATAACTGGGACATTTTTCCACAGCCTGCATGTTTAATGTACTTCTAGCTCTTTTAACAATACTTTTAACAATGCTATCCTTGCCGGGAGAAAAATGGAAAACAAAGCAGCAGTTTCTAGTTAACTATGATGTTGCTAGGGCAGATCAATCCTCATCTTGTATCTTTATAAGCAGCAGTCATTTCTCTTTGTCTGAGTAACAGTTATGTCCTGATCTTACACTAGACATGTCAACAATACTTTAAGACATTTAATAACGCTACTTGAAGTGATAGGCTTTTAAAATTTATTTTTTACAAGGCACTCTCTGTGGTGGTGACCCAGTGCTAGTGTTTACTTGGTTGCGCTGTAAGAATATCCCATCTAGATGTTGATAGGTACAGTATATCCACCAGTTTTGTCACAGTTCACAGTATCACCTCTGGAAACAACACAGGCTGTAGTATTCAGGAGAATGATACAATCTTCTGCCTTCATCATGTTTGCATTTATGGATACCATCTCTACCCTGGTTTCCCCTTTTCTGACCAGCCCTCCCACCATCCAAAAGTGACTAACCTCCCTTTTTCCAGAACCTGAAGTTAAGATATGGTTGAGATTTAATGTTTTCTTGATCTAGGCCCTTGGTTACTTATGTGATGAACATTGTTATTCTCTAGAAGAGTTGCTTACTAGAAATGCAGAGCTCCTTTAGGATAATTGGAAACAATTGAAGCAAGCTGGTGCACAGCCACCAGATTTTTGTTGTTGTTGCTCTGATGCCATCCTGTTGCATTCAGTGGGGATTCATGGTCATACCTGGAAGGAGACAAAGTGAAAGCTTTCTTTAATCTGGACTGCAAAATGACAACAGGCAGGTTGACAGTAATTTCATGTGAAAGCTTCAATTCCATAGTTTGATTAGATGTGAGTGTTCAGTGATGCTGGAAGTATTGTTAATTTTTATGTGGGAAAATCTCAAAGCATTGCTAAGTCTCACTGAAATCAGTGGAGTTATGCTAACTTACACCAAGCAAGGATACGGCCTAATGTATTAGAAAATATTTTGTATCTAGTCTTAGTCATGTCTTAGCTTGTTTGAACTGATGCAGCTTTAAATGTCTTGCTTCTTATGAGAATTTGACAGCCATTTTTTAGGTTTTTACACTTCATGGTCAGCCTCAGAAATTAAAATCGCTGAGTAAATTAAACTTGGACTTTCATCGCCTGGTTTTCAATCTACAACATAGGTCTGGGTTACAAGCAGCGCAAAAGCAGGCTTCTTCTACATGCATTTTTTTCCTTTATTGCTGAAGTAATTTTTTGTAAGAATGTAAATTTACTCTCTTCTGTCTGCCTCTGAAGAACTGGTGCACATTGGAAATCTAACCCCCTTTTCTATGCAGTACTTGGTCTGCATCACTAGGTGAATATCTGAAGTTTCAAAGAGCCTTCAAGCATCCCCTGTCTGAGCAAAGACATTCCCTTGCTTACTGTCTGCAGCAGCGCTACAGAGAGCTGCAAGACACCTTTTTTCTTTCTTTCTTTCTTTCTTTTTTTTCTTCTTTTTCTCAGAGGTTTTCTACAGGTGAGGCCAGTGGAATGGCAGCAGCCAAAGGGTTGGCTGTAGGTAATTCTTTTGCACACTGCAGAATGGTTCAGATAAGCAGTAGCTCTTCTCTGAGTACATGGTGAGAGTCCCAAAGCTTCACTTTCAGTTTGTGCTGGGGTTCACTTCCCTAGTTTTCTGGGTGCTTGAATGTTTAACAAATTTAATACCACAAATGTTTGTGTGGAGTGGGTTTTTTGTTTGTTTGTCTGGATATTTTTTTAGCCTCTCCTTCCCCCATGGTGTATTAGAAGGCTCTTAGATGTCAAAAAATGACAAATAAGCCCAAAACAGTGATTTAGCAGCTTCTTCGTACACTTATCTTTGGGACCTGTGGTTTCTACAGATTTAAAAACCAAATAAACAGCAAGCCCATCCTAATTTATAGAGAGCAAAATTCACTTCGGAGTGGTAGGCCTGTTATTGCCCACCACTGGGGAGAATTTCTCCTAACTCTTATTGGTTAAAACCATTTAAAACCATGTATATCTTTGTGTCCTGTGCCTCTAGTGTCTGCAGATGGAAACCTTTGGTACATAAATTGCTAAACCAAGTCACTGCGTAGGACCAAAAGAGCAGGAAAGGGTGAGGGTGTTGGAGTAAACTGACATGTGTCCTCCTGAGCCTCCCATTGAAATCTAGCTCTATATTTGTCAAGCAGCATGCACACCTGCATATCCTCTGCTGTGAAATCCATCTGTGTGAGTTCAGTTACCTTCAGAAAGGTCAAATCAAACTATTTTGGATTCATAAAACTCATAATTTCCATTGATCTCATCAACTTCAATTGTGTTGCCAAGCGAGACCTGCTGTTATCTCCTCAGACATATGCAGTGCAACGAGACTTCCCAGTAGTGGTCCTTAAATATTTTACCTGGGGTAAATGGAAAGAACATTTCAAGACTTCCCTATGTCAACTACTTCCTTATACTCACTTTCTGTTCTTCAGAGAACTGAGAGTCAGGTAAACCATATCAACACTGCTGTTCTCCAAGGGTGTGCGTTGATCCTTTTTCCTACTGTGTTGTTCCAGTGTCATAGGATAACCCCTGTGTGCAGCAATTCCATCTT